AAGGTGCACTATGAAGCCGTAAATATGCCTGCAAGAAAGGACCCTTGTGCGTGGCAGAGCTAAGTATTTTCCAAACTCAATAAGAAAGGTTTTAAGAAATAGCTAGACATCCCATGACCAATGGGCTCATCATTGCTTCAGAGATATTTCCTTAGACCAGGGGTAGGCAACCTTGGCTCTTTTATGACTCGTGGACTTCAACTCCCAGAATTCCTGAGCCAGAATGGCTAGCTCAGGAATTCTGGGAGTTGAAGTCCACGAGTCATAAAAGAGCCAAGGTTGCCTATCCCTGCCTTAGACAGATAAGGAATTTTGCCATAAGGCAAGGAGAAGGAAAGGCCTCTGCAGCTGAGAACTGAGCTCCGGATTGCCACTTGAGTGGTGGCAGAAGTGGGCTGGTGGCAGGTGTCACAACATGGGAGGCCTGCTTGCAATGGTAAACGGGAGCGGGGCCCATGGGGTAGCTCCAGTCCCCCACCCCCATCCTAGCTTGAGTTTTAGGCATGTGCCTCGCCCCAAAACTAGGGGTTATTTTGGGGGTAGGGCTTATATTAGGCCCAACCCCAAAAAATTAAGCTACGGCTTATTTTCAGGGTAGGCCTTATTCTCAGGGAAACATGGTAGTAGCAACCTTGTTTTCTGCTTTGTAAGTGTTATTTTAACTAGTTGTGTTCAACTCTTGGCGGACTTTAAAGGCAAGTGCTCACCATGCTATCCTGTGAAGCACAGCTTCTTTCAACTGTTGGTCAACTTTGTATCAGATTTGATGTTATCAAGCCAGCATGTTCTTTGCTTGCCCCTTCTTCTTGTTCCACTAACCCAGTGGTTCTCAACCTTTTTAATGCCGCGACCCCAACCGGTCGTAAGTCGAGGACTAAACCGGTCGTAATTTGAGGACTAAACCGGTCGTAATTCGAGGACTAAACCGGTCGTAAGTCAAGGACTACCCAACCGGTTGTAAGTCGAGGACTTTCCCTGCCCGGGAGCGCCGTGCATGCGTGGTTCCGCCCCCTGTGCCGGCCGAGGCATAGCTGGCAAGCGGCAGAGACGGAGCAGGCCGACCACCAGCTGGCCCAGCCCAAGGGAGGTAAGGCACCCGCCGGAAAAGGGGAAAAAATGGCGGACAAAAAAATGGCGGACAAAAAAATGGCAGACAGCCTTGCTTGGCGACCCCCGTGAAATGGTCGATCGACCCCAAATGGGGTCCCGACCCACAGGTTGAGAACCACTGCACTAACCATTCCTAGCATCGTTGCCCTCTCCAATAAATTTGCACGCATGACATGGACAAAGTAAATCAGATGTAGTCTTATGATTTTAGCTCCTAGTGATGTGTCTGGTTTTATACTATTTAACACCTCTCTTGTTAGTTACTTTAGCTGTCCATGGTATACGCAATAATTTCCACCAGCACCACAGCTTTCAAATACAGTACATTAATTTTCTCAGTCAGAAGGTATAATGACAAGGGGCATATTTTTGGTTGTGCCCATTGTAGTGTTTGTGAAGCAAAAACTAAATGTAAAATCACAGAAAGTGCAATCAGTGCTTTTATATATACAAAAAAAAAGGCAGACTCTCCCAATGGATTTTGGTCAGAAACAGTTCTTAAACAAAAGATGATTTCAGCTATCATAATTCAAATAATTGCCATCATTTTATCCACTATAATCTTGAATAGATTTGCTGGAAACTAGCAGGATTTCTTTTTTCTTTTTTACTTTTTTGCTTTCATTGAGAAGCAAATGGGTTGTAAACAACATCACAAATAACCAAAATGTATCAAACACTAGTTTCATATTCAAACACAAGCTAACCATTTGATCTAGTTTTGGTTGTTTAATTAACATTTTTTTTAAAAAAAAACCCTCTTTAACAGACCCTTGTTTGATATAACAATCCTTCAGATAACAAAGCGTTATATCTCTAACAGCATTTTTACTTTCTCTACTTTTTATGGAGAGTAGGAAGCTAATGAAATTGAGTAAGATGGTGAAATTGACTTCTTTGGTAAAATAAAAGACCTCGTCTAGCTTTTTTTCTACCTGGAAACCATTTTTGGAATCTTTTCTTAAAACTGAAAGAAATGCAACTATAATTTTGGGATTTGATGATTAGAACTGTTTATGATTATAGAAATACTGTGTATTATTGTTGATTTTAGAATAAGAGGTTAATGTATTTTATATTTATATCTATATCGAAGAAAGTTGGAAGTTACTCTTTTTCTATGTTCCCCCTTCTTTTTCTTTTCTGCACTTTATATTTTTGTTGAAATTTAATAAAGTTTTCTTTTAAAAAAAAACAGAATTTTATCCATTCAAAATCTTCAGCTAAATGGCATTCTTAGCGAGGCTAAGCAAAAATTATCACTTAATAATGGGGTTTGGGTGTTTTTCTCATGGATCAGCGGAGCTATCTTTGTTACTTGCCTATAAGTTACTTCCTTTTTTTTCTCCTCTGTTTTTCCCATCAAGATTCTATTCTAGGAAATTTCTTATTAAAATCCTTGAGGACTAATCTGAATCTTCTAATCCAGCTGCTTGAAGCATGACATGCACCATTACTGACTACTAGCTATTTCAAGCAATGAAATCTAGACCTTTCTGTTTTTTCCAGATAGCATAACCAAAACAACAGTTCTGCCCCAACAGGATATTGTATCTCTGATAACAAAATATCCCAACTAAATACATTTTGCCTTTAGGGAAACAGAGGCACTTAAAAGTCACCTTACCTATTAAAGAATAATTGAGCTAAATGGAGAAAGGTCTTTTCAAAACTCATAAGGCATGATTCAAAGCTAAAAAATTGGCCTTTCCCTTAGATGATCACGATTATGGCCAAATTTTGACATTAATCAAGTTGATTATTACCTATGCCATAGAGAAACAAAATTTTTTGTAATATCCATAATTTCTAAAGCATTGCCGCTTTGCTCTGCCTTTTTCTTCTGCATGTTGTGGACAATCTGTCCTCCTTCCCTTTTCTTTTCATTTGTATAGGATCCATTGAGTTGAGTCTAGATTCAGAATTACCAGTAATCTACAGTTAATCAAAACAGAAGTAAAGACTTCCAATCGCTTTCTCACAGACATGTCATCTGAAGAGTGCAGAGAATAAGTATAGTAAAATCTTGAGAGTTGACTCTTAACAAACTCTATTAAGACATGGGTTGGGAAAATTATTATAGCAGAACTTGGAGGTTTTCATTATCAACAAAAATGAGAAAAAAACATTATGTTCTTTTACATTTTCCCGATGCTCACAAGAGTGGGAAAAAAAAGTTGAAATGCTCTGGGGAGTTTAAAATAGCTCTCAGCTGAAAAAAAAAGATTCCAAAGGTCTTCAGCTCAGCAGTCCAGATATTATGCAAAGGAATACAATGCTCATAGTAATAGTAATACTGCCACTACTAAGAATAATCATATAGGTCATCAAATAAGAATGGAAATGTACATAATTTCGCAAAGGATGCAGGTTACACTACAATTTCCATTGGATTTGTTTTCAATATTGTCATGCATCTGTATCAATCAAGCTCTCAAAACAAGCAATAATGTGGGGATAAAGACCATACCTCAACCTTCAATAAAGGTATTTAAAAATCTGATTTGTTTTGAGTTACAGCCAAAGATTATTACTGCTTAGTCTTTTCCTCTGAAGCCGTCCAAAGGAACTAGCCCTTGCCCTCCACTCATCTCACTCCCCCCCCCATTTTCCTTTTCCTGCACCTGTCGACTCATGTCTGAATATCAACTTTCCATGTAACAGCTCTGGAGAACTGGCAATGGAACCTGAAGCAAATCCAGAAGAAAAGAGAAGAGACATGCTGGAAAAATCTATTAAGAGACTGTTTAATTGGGCATTGATTTCAGGATTTCAGTTTGGTCAAACTACGTGACAGGGGTGGCTGGACAGCAGCATTGCTCTAGACCTTTTCAAAAAATCACTTACATTTTGTCACTGCTCCTCCTCTATTTTTTTTATTATTATTATTACATTGGCAGCTCACCTTTCCTCCAGGAATTCAGCCCTTCCTCCAATCTTCCCTTCCCTCTCTTACACACAAGCACAACTGTGTGGGGACTGGGAGAAAATAACTAACCCAAAGTCACCCAATGAACTTCCATGTTGGCAGGAACAGGGGGAAGACTTGAACCTGGGACTTCCTAGTCTTAATCCAACACCCACTTGACTAGACCACCTTTCTCCCTTCCTTCCTCTGAAGAAAAGCCTTCCTAACCAGGTACTCAGAATACATAGAACGGTAATGTTGAAGAGCATTTCTAGACTGCTCCTGAAGTCTGTCTAGAAATGCTGATTCCTTTGAAATACAAACTTAATGAATCATCAACTTAGTTGCAAGGAGCCTTTGCAATTCTAGAAAACATGCCCTTACACAGTTTCCCCACCCCACATACACATTTAAATAAAATAAGGATAGCTAGTCTTTAGATAGTCTTTGATTACCAGATGAGGGAGCTCTGTGCCAAAGGAGAGACTGCAAATAAACTTTGTTATTGCCAACATAGATTTCTCCATGCCAGGTAAGCTGCCTCAGATTCTGCAATGAACCATGGGAGGGGTGGGGGGTGGGGCTCAGGACACAGCCATTCATGTTCCAGACAGGGAAATATCTGGTGGTGCAGTTAATGCACATGGGCATATATGACATATATATATATCTCCCCCTAATACATAGCATATATCTGAGTTGCATACCACAACCACTCTGAGTTTACACAGGAAATCTCAGTTTCAAATAAGAAACCAAAAGAACTTTAGAATTGTGTTTAAAGACTCACTTGGAAATAGAATCTCTTTGAGATTTGGGAGCAGGAACTTCTTCTTTTTTAAAGAAGAACATAAACATTTTATTACCAGATGCATGGGGACTATTGTAGTTTAATTGTCACGGAGAGTAGCAATTATCTTGTTATGGCTTCAATAATCAGAGCAAATTGGATGAAAAGGCAACAAAACTGTTTTATTTTTTGCACAATTATATACAATGCATGATGGAATGATTTATGTAGCCAGCTCTCTGAAAGAGCCATACAAGGTAAAAACTGTCTCTATAGACAGAAAGGGAGCAAAACTTGAATAAGGGGCAACAGCTACTGTATACAGCTCACTGAATCTAAAATGCTAATGATCAATACCACCAGAGATAAAGTAGTCTGTCAAGTACACAGAGTACAAATTTAACAACCAAAAATAATGTAAGGAGTCTGATCAATTTCATGTTTATTCCAGAACTCATTGCATGCAGATTCTTGTGGACTGTATTTTATCGAAATGGAAGGAAAAAGAATATTGATTGTCTTGGTGACTTTAAATAGTGAAATGCCTTTAAAAATCCCTGCATAACCATAAGTAGTTTGCAAAGAAAATATTAAATGGGAATTGCTTGCAAACTTCTTGCTGATTTAAAATACATTTACCTTCCCAACATGACTGGATTAGAAGTCAGAGAAGGACAAGTGAAACCATTGACACAGTTAGTGATTAAATTCATCTATCACTTGAAATGAAAAGTTATTTTATATTATAATGCAACTTTGCCTGAACAGGTCACTCCACTTAGGTCTCTCGCTGTGATTATGTCAGCAACAGTTTTTTTTAAAAAAAGTTCTGATTAATGAGTTTTCCACAATAAGATTTTAAGCAGATAAGATTCCAAATCTATGAGATAGTTTGTGGAAATCTACAATCATGAGGAAACTGTAATGAATGGATAATGAAGATGGATTAGCTATGCCAAACAAAATTAGGCATAATTTCTATGTAACCTCCTAAACATCTAATATTTGAAGAAAACTGTCATTAAATAACAAAGAATGAAGCAACCCTAGAGAAAATTTACACTCTAATATGAAGACATTAAAAGATATGACGATTATCCAAACATGAACAAAACTCTGATGAAAGTAATAAAGATTAGTTGAGATGATACCAGAACTGTTTCTTAATAGTATACTTTCTAAGTATAAAGAAACTCGGAGTCAGCTGCAGCAAAGTACAGTCTCATCACTAATAAGGACAATACAAAAAAGTAAACATTTGACTGTGCATTATTCCTAAAAACTGTATAACCCATCCAACTTCTTGCCTCATTTGCAGATAAAAGGGTAAACTGCCAATATCACTCAATTCCTGCTTGACTTCAAGAATTTCCCTCTAAGGAGCAGTTGATAAGTTCAACATTATTGCTATGCTAAGAGGTAGTTGAGTGTTGTACTACTACACCATCAAAATGAAAAGAAAAAAACACACCTCCTTTGGAGTAGTTCCTATAGTGTTTAAAACATGGCTCTCACATTCAGATCCAATATGCCCTTCTCTAAATATTTCTGTAGCCCATGAATAAAACAACACAAGACTCTTCCCACACTTGAGGTAAAGGTTTGCCCGTTGCTATAGTCGCTATAGTGTAATCCCTGCTCAGGCCCTCTGGCAGCCACAACAATCATGACAACAGGTAGACATTTCTGCTATGCTCAGTCTGATGGGACTTAATGCTACCATGCAACACGGTACCTTTGCAATGCACAAAATCTTCCCCAATAGGGGGACTTCCTTCTTCACAGAGCCATTGGTCAGTCTTTTGTTCATCTGCGTGAATGTCATTGTGATCCCCATTGCAGTCATTTTTCCCATTGCTATTGGAATATCCGTTGACATACATTTTCAAGGCAGACCTCCGGAAGCAGAGGATCTCCTGGAAAGCATACCTGAAGTCCGGGCTTCGACAGTAAATTAAAGGGTTGAAAGCAGAATTGACATATCCCACCCAGTTCAAGAAGATATATACATGTTTGGAAATCAAGGTCTCTTCAATAGCACTCACAATGTGGACAATGAAAAAAGGGAGCCAACACAGAGTGAAAGTACCCATGATAATGCCCAGAGTTTTAAGAGCTTTGTGCTCTTTCAAGCAAAATTTAGATGTTTTCCTATGATTTCCTTTTCCCGCATTTCGCTCCTGATTGGAGTTTTGCTGATGGAACCGTCCTTCGCATTTGTCTATTTTTTTTAGCTGCTTCTGAGCAACCTGGAAGACTCTGGCATAGACAAAAACCATCACCACCAAAGGTACATAGAAGGAGATGACAGAGGAAGTAATGGCATACTCCTGGTTGATGAAGAAGTCACAGCAGCTCTCATTCAAGTAGCAAGTCTTAGCATCCTCCCCTTTGGCTCTGTACCACCGCATCTGGATAGGTAAGAAGGAAGTCAGGATTGATATTACCCAAACCAAGAGGATGACCATCCTGGCTTTATTTTTGGTCAAAAGGCTTTGATACTTGAAAGGCGAAGTGATGGCAAAGTACCTGTCCACAGCAATGACACACAGCGTCTCGATGCTGGCTGTCACACAGAGGATATCAATTGAGATCCAGAACTCACACCAAAAACTCCCAAACTTCCAGATACGCTGGATGATGTAGCTGGCTCCGAAAGGGACCACCCCCAGGCCCATCAGGAGATCCGCACAGGCCAAAGAAGTGATGAAATAGTTAGTGACCGTCTGCAGCCGCTGGAATTTGGCGATGGCCGTGATCACCAACACGTTGCCAAAGACGATGGCCAGCACGATCAACGACATGAGAATGGACATGCCCACCACCCAGCCTTCTCCGGACGCGATGGAATTGTCCGGGCTTTGCCTGCCACTGCTGTTGACGCTCAGCGTGAGGGGTACCGAATCGACGGGACTCAGCGTTACCATTGTGCCCTCGAAACAGCCTCGCTTTTTCTTTTCTTTTTTTCCTTCTCGGCCGCGGCCGATCCGGGGTTACGAAGAAATCCGCCGGCGCCTGGCCAAGGCGGTGCAGCGCTGGGCTTTCTTTCGGCTCGACAGCTCCCAAGTCCCCGTCCACTTAACCTTTGCAGGCACTCTGCTCCCAGATGCTCCTGGCACGCTGGAGGAGAAGAGCCGGACTTGGCAAGCGAGCCGGGGGGTTGGCGCGATGGTGCGCCTCATGCAGCCAGCAGCCTGAACAGCGTTTGTCGCGTCCTGTCCTGTCCTGTCCTCGGCTCGCCTCGCTTTGATCACCTCCCGCGCTCCTCGAAGTAACCCTTGGCGGCTGGAACTTGTCCGGAGCCCGTTATGTTTAGGGAGTTTATAGGAACTCTCGCTTGTGACGTAAAGCTACCTTCAGCCAATAGGCTGCCAACAATCAGTCTCTCGCGCTCTCTCTCTCTCACACACACACATACACACACACTCACACACACAGAGAGAGCCGGCGGTGGCAGCTGCAGCCTTGTGGCCGCGCTGCTTCCTTACTCCTCTGCGCCTGGTGGCACGGAAAGCTCCCATCTGCGCCGTGGCTACCGATTGCAACTCCGTTTCCTCCACAGCCCGACTAAAGTTAGCGCCTTCTGGCCGCTGGGAAACCCGCAGATCCTGTTGCTGGCTTTTGTTTCTCGCCGGTCGTCTGGCTCGGGAAGCCGCTCGGCGCTCCCTGGAGAAACAGGCAGGAAGACCGGGAAGGGGCCCCCCGGGTGTGGGATGGGGGGTACCGGGGAACTGAGATTGTTTTAGCAGGAAATGCGAGCGAGAGTTCAAGATCAAGAACTTGGCGCTCTTTGCGGTGCGTCATCGACCCTCAGGTGCTGGGAGCGTCCAGGCAGGCACCTTCCACGGACGCACCAAAACCCCACCTGGGAATGCCGGGTCGTGTGGAGCCTCATTCCCACGCGCAGCGTCAACCGTTCTTGGCTGCTGTAAACCGAGAGCGTTTCTGACCATGCTTACTGCGATTTTGCAGCCTCCGCGAGATTGGAGCTGCACGTTTGGCCCCCGTTTCCAAACTTTTTATCTACTTGTCTTGGGCTGATCCCACCGCCTGGGAAAATGTCCTTATTTTTTTTTATTTGGGAACGACAATGTCCTTATTTTTTATTTGGGAACAATTACAGCGTGGTGTTTCTATTTTGTCTCCTTCATCTAGTTGCAGTATTTACCACTACTATTAAATACGGTCTGTTGTAAGATAAAAGGTGAGTTTGGGTTGTTTTCTTAAAGAAAGAAAAAAAAAACCCGCCACCAATCAGTCTGCAAATAGAATAGTTATGATTGCACTTAAACCCTATCTCAAATATCAGAAGCAAGGGCCCTGTAAATAAAGTTGAAAAAAATGTATCAAATGCCTTCCAGTCTATTGATGAAGAAATTGTGAAATGTTCATAAGTTCTCACTAGAAGAGCAAACTAAACAAAACTCTCATTCATCTGTACCAGCCAGTTTCGACACAGCACAGAAAGAACCATCTTGTATTTGTTTGCCAAGTAGGTGATAGATATAAGGAACCTGTCGGACAGAAGAGCTGGGACACCAGTAATTTAATATATGCATGATTGAACAAACAAGGTATTTCTTTAAGCCTAAATAGAGAAAACTACCAGTTTGTCCCACTCTTAATGTTAATTTCTGCCTTTCTTATTTATCAATTTATAGAGTCTGATGAAAGCAAATAAATAAAATTCTTAGCTCGTGAACACTTCTGAATAATCACAGCTGGAGAGCAACAACTGAGAGAAGAGGGCTGTGGGATTCCTCAAACCCACCAATTGATGAGCCCCCAGGCAAGACTATAAAATCCTTGGGTGCGATCCAGGAGCAGCACTCGTGTGTTCTAAATTAGTTTAAAGCAGTTAACTACAGTAGTATGTGTGGAGATGTGAATAAAACTGCTTAAGCAGCCAGGCTTCCAATAAAAATAAAGCAAGGAGCAGGCAATTACACTTCATAACCTTTAAAGTACCATAGGGTTTTTTTCATTGGTTTTGCTGCAAAAAAATAATGTGTCTAATCTATAAATAGTTTGAAAGTTATCTTTTCCCCATCTTTTGATCATCACATTGCAGTAGACTCTCTAGTATAATACTGTCTTAATATAACCCTGTATAACTCAACTTCCTGATTATGCAGAATTCTGTTTTCATGTCTAATCAGCAAAGTTCCCTCCAACCATTATCTTATTTGAATGTATCTTTTTGTTCTTTTCAACACCCATCTCACCACATCCTCTCATTCTAGCTAAACTTCCTGAATCTACTGGTTCTGAATAAAGAATTGAGAAGGGAACAAATTAATCTTGAAATGTTGTTAAAGAATATCAATGCGTTATATAACTATACTGTAGTTGAACTGTTTTATTACAGAGACAGGAAAGGGTAGGTGAACAGTTCTGAAGGAAAATTTCATACCAGTAAAATTATAATTTACTTCTAGGCAGAACCAGGAAATATTATCTTCATTTCAGATCAGTAAAATCAGTAAGCACTCAAATCTTATTTCTAGTCAAACTTTGAAAATATTTTCATCTCAGAAAATCATACGGTACTGGATAATATATTAATTATTAATGTGGATGAGATGAAATAGTAGATGGTGATACTGATGATAACTTTTATATAATGTTAAGAACTAGCTTATCTTTCTATCAAATGTACTTAATTAGGCTTGGCTCAAATCACACTTCATAATTAGTAATAATTACAAAATATGTCTTCCAACATTCCCATGCATAGTTTTTTTTGTCTGAGTTTAATGTGTTTGCTTTAAGAAGATGCAAACTTTCCTATTTAGGAAAGTGTGGAAAGATCTGTCACAGAGAAAAGAAATTATTCTTTTATTAATTTTATATTACAAGAGCTCAAGATGGCATACCTGGCACTTCTTCCTCCCTTTTTCCAGTGAGATAAATCCAATTGAGAGAGGTATTGGTTCAGATTCACCTAGTGATCTTCCAGAATACAGGGTCTCTATGGTGCCAGGCTGATGCCTTAACTTCAACACTACGTAGATTTAAGCAGTGGGTAAGTGGAAATTCTGAATGAAATTGGGAAAGTTTCAACTGAATAAGATAAACCCCAACATTTCCTGAAGTTATCTTTATAAATAATACTCATTCCATAGATATTTGAAAAATCAGTCACATAAATGTATAGTACAGAGTGAACATGATACGGTGATTTACAGCTTTAATCAAACAGGTAATGTAAAAAAAAACTTGAAATGTGGAGAATGCAAAATAAATGGCATGACTGGAGCAGCTGGCAACCAGTGTCCAATTTAACCATTAAAACTTTCTGGCATAATATGTAGGAACCTTAGAGGGACATGGTGATTCTTTTAATTAAATTACAGGTACCCACATGTTGGATACAACCTTGCTTCATGCATATGGGATGTCAGAGAATATACACAGATGTAGATCAGATGGTATCCACTCTGTTTTAGACAGAAATAATTGCTGGTTGTAATTTTGATACTTATCCATCCCTGTTGGACTCAGGGTGATGCCATTCAGATGTATGGAAAAAAATAAGCTCCATAAATCTGGTGTCAGTTTCCTTTGGAGTAAACATGTGAATGGGACTGGAATGTTTACTTTATTGAATGTTAAAGAGGACTTTTTAAAAAATGGGTTGTCTTTGCTGTGTCATTCAGCTGACCTACATAAAACTCTGTGAAGCTGTCCCCTATGAGGGTGCCAAGTCCAGGATTGTATTTTCCTTCAACAGCAGTTTTCCTAGACTGATGACTCAGGGGGAAAAAAACTCACATTCCTACTACCTAACATGCAGCTTAAGTGGAGATGACAGAGGGTGAAACTGGGAGCTGCCAGATGGCTGCACCTGCCTCACCTTTATGCTATCACTTCCTCCCCAATCTAAACTTTTTTGGGGGGGGATGTGTCAGTGTTCAGAAACTCATAAGCAACAAGTGCTGTTCAATACGGTCAAAAAGAAAATCTAGCAAAAGAAGGAAAACAAGCAGTAAATGTTATTGCTGTACACACTGGGATGGCTATCACCCTATATTTCAGCCTAGTTTCCAGAAACTGCTGGCAAGTTGCCTCGGTAAACCTGCTGAATAGATGCATCTTAATCTGATCTGCAAATATGCCTTTTAAGTACATGAAACTAAAGTCTCCTGCTTTGTGTATCACCCTGCAGCCCATTCTATATGCTTCCCAGTCTTTCCTTACAGTGGGCTACATCTAATATTGTTACCTCTGTGAGAAAACTTATCTAGAAAAGTGGTTCTCAACCTTTTTAATGCCGCGACCCCAACCGGTCGTAAGTCGAGGACTAAACCGGTCGTAAGTCGAGGACTAAACCGGTCGTAAGTCGAGGACTAAACCAGTCGTAAGTCGAGGACTACCCAACCGGTCATAAGTCGAGGACTTTCCCTGCCTGGGAGCGCCGCGCATGTGTGGTTCCACCCCCTGCGCCGGCTGAGGCGTAGCTGGCAAGCGGCAGAGACGGAGCAGGCCGACCACCAGCTGGCCCAGCCCAAGAGAGGTAAGGCACCCGCCGGAAAAGGGGAAAAAATGGCGGACAAAAAAAATGGCAGACAAAAAAAATGGCGGACAGCCTTGCTTGGCGACCCCCGTGAAATGGTCGATCGACCCCAAATGGGGTCCCGACCCACAGGTTGAGAACCACTGATCTAGAATGTAGTAATAGTTGAGGCCAAAAGGCAGGAACTTAGGGAAGCCGAGAAATTAAAACAACAGGCTAGATATCTCAAGCAGTCCCCATCCTGCCTATTTTCAGGCACCAAAGGATTTGTCCTGCTGGTGATTCCAAAATTAATTCAAGAGAAAAAGTGGATGACTGCATTGAACCACTGGAACTGACATAAAAACATGAGAGTGAATATAGCAATACTAAGAGGCCTAAGGAAGAAATGTTCTTCAAAATGTATTACAGTATTTA